AGCCAACCCCCCCCCGAGGGACCGGGCGCCCCAGGCTGCTCCCAGCGTGAGGGCGGAGCTGGGGGGGGCAGGCGACCCCACCTCCTGGGGCAGCCCCGCGGGGGGAGGGGGCGAGGTCAGCGCCACACGTCACATCACTGCGGCAAGGTCACCGAGTGACATCATCCCAATCGGGGTGACGTCATACCAACTTGGGACGACGTCATCACAACGGGGTGACGTCACACCAACGGGGAGTGACGCCGGCTTCGAGTGTCGTGGTGACGTCACCACTCAGCTCCCACCCCCACCCCCTTCCCGGGTCTACCCCAGTGTCCCCGCAGGCCGGCCCCCAGCCCGCCCCGGCCCCCGTACCCGGCTCAGGAAACCCAACCGATCCCGCAGCGGCGCCGCCATGATTCTCTCTGCCCTCAACCCGCCCGGCCGCCCCTGAACCCGGCCTCATCTGCCCGCCCCCGGAACGCCCTGCCCGCCAATCAGAGCGCGGCTTCCTCCCAGCTCAACCAATCAGCACCAGAGGAGGACGAGGCCGCAGGCGGAAGCTGCCGATATTACTGTCGCCACCAGCAGAGGGACGAGGGAAGGGAAGTAAATCACCGGCATCTCGTCCAATCAGAAGCCCCCATGTGCGAAAGGGACCAATCAGAAGTCACTAAGGAGGACGTTGTGCGTAACCCACCCTACGTCTCGTCAGGGTGGGGCCGGGCTATGAAAAGGTTGTTGGTTGGAACCAATCCAGAGCCGAGCGCGGTCTGACGGACAGGAGGTTGCCCCTATCACAGCAACGTTGTGCGTAACCCACCCTACGTCTCGTCAGGGTGGGGCCGGGCTATGAAAAGGTTGTTGGTTGGAACCAATCCAGAGCCGAGCGCGGTCTGACGGACAGGAGGTTGCCCCTATCACAGCACACCAATGGGCGGGCGTTATCCGGACCCAATAGGAGAGCGTCGGGCTGTTTGACGAGCAGCGCCAGGAGCCTACCGGAGCCCGGCCCATCATGGCGGCGCCCAGCGCGTAGCGAGGCGGCGATGTCCGGCCAGGGGGTCTGGCTGCGAGCCCGGGAGC